TATTCTCAAACACAAGAAAATGATGAACTTGGTAAAAAAACAAAAAAAGAAAATGCGATTTTTTTTTATCTGTTTTGTTTTTTTAGGTTTTGATCCATGTAGTTTATTTATGTCTGCACTTGCATCTGATATTGAAGATGAACGACGACCATTACCATCAACAATAGTACATCGTCCGATAACAAATTCATATAATTATTCATCCCAATATACACCTACAACGAATCCATCTATTGGGCAAATAAATACAAATTGGTTATTACAACAACAACAACAACCACAACAATATCAACAATATCATGATCAACAAGCAATAATACATAGTAATGGTACAACACCACAAAAACAACAACAACAACAGCAACGATATCCAATATCATTTAGTAAAAAAAAAGATTATTTCATTTGGAAAAAAAAAGTTTTTCTTTTTTTCATATTTCTATAGACGGATCATCGCCAAGACAGGCGTGGAACGGCAATCAACAACAATATGCACCACAAATATCAACTCGTTTAGATTTTACAAATCAAATACAACAAAGGCTTCCACCAACACAATCATCATCACAATATTCTCAATCAATAAATAATAACAATAATAATAATAATAATAATACTTATTCTTCTAATAGTACAGTGACCACAAATAATTGTAAGATTTTCTTTTGTTTTTGTTATCTTTGTTCTGAAATTAAATTATTATTTTAGTATCAAATGATCGATGGATAAATCTACCGTGGACAGATCCAGCTATAATATCATTTGGTAATAAACTTGATACAACATCATCACAATGGTCCACAACTACGCAATCACAAGGATCTTCCACATTATCATCCTCAGGAAATAATCTCATGTCAACAACTCGTTGGTCACAACAACAACCATCGACACAATCCCAAACACATATGATTACAAATGGAATCTATTCGCCATATTCAACAACATCAGGTGTCGATAATGGAAATCGTTCTTAAACTAAACAGTTGATCACATGCATATAAACACACATACATATATAAAAAAAGTCTTATTTTTTCTGTCTATGCGCTCCGTGCCCGGATGATAGCCTCATCTTCATTTTTTTTTCTTGTACTCCTTTTTTTTGGCTTGTTTGTTTTCTCTATCTCTATCTCTCGTTGTCGTTTATCATATATACATATATATATACATACATCGAAAAAAACAACACAAACATGTTTTTTAACGGCAATTTAGAGAAAATTTCAAACGAGGAAAAAAAATCAAAACGAAGAAACATGGTATCATTAACATGACTGAGAATTATATTCATATGATAAAAATAAAGCTAAGCTTATAATGCATCAAAGATTTCAAAACCAGCAACCATCAAATATATATTTTTTCTTTTTATTCTAATTAGATGTTTATTGTCATATTGTTTTCTTTTTTTGTCTCTCTTTTTCATTTCGCACCTTTTTTGCTCATTCGCTATTTTTCGTTGTTATGAGTTTCTCTATATTATTGCTTGTTTTCTTATTCTTTCTTTCGTATCATCAATGTGTGTATTGCATTATAAGACTATCTAGAACCTTTATCGAGATGAGCACACACACATAATTTGAAACTGATTATCGCATATATCTTTAATAGACAAATCAAATAACATTTTTTTTTAAAAACATTTATTCTCTTTAAAAAAAAACATAACAAGGCTTCAATTCTAACGCGTGTTTCGATACAATAAGTTTCATAAAAAAAAAAAAGTTAAGTATACTTTCATTATTTACGAATTGAAAGAATTCTTTCTAAAATTTTTTTCTTCTTCAACATTTATTTGAACGTTAACAACAAAAGAAAAGTAAAAGAGAAAAATAGTAACAACGTTGCTGTTTTCATTGCTGATTGTTACAATTTACTTTCTCTTTTATTCTCTCTCTCTCTCTCTCTCTCTTTCTCTTCTGTCCATTAAACGTTTTAATAGAAACGTTAAAAAAGCTTATAAAATGAATGCAAACACGTCTCTTACTAAATCAACATTTCTTTTCGATGATCAAAAACGATTTGATGCACAATGTGAACATGATCGTTTACGAAATTCTATACAAGATCATACTGAAATACCATCGACAGCTGATCCATGGAAACAACCACCGATAGATTTTACTTTGAAAAATTTTCATCCAGATAGAAAAAGAATCACTAATGTATCATTAATAAATGATATTTCACCAAATGAAAAACAACTACAAATTTCACGAATTTATGATCCTGTTGTAATGAAACCATTTGCAGTATCATATCAAGATACAACGACAACACATTTAACAAATGATGATAATGATTTTGCACTTGATACACGAATTAAATATGATAAAGTAAAACGAATGTTAAATACAGAACAATATAAAAATCCTAAACTACATGATTATCGACAAGTAATTTTTTCTCATTAGAGTTTAGTTATTTAGTTCTTTTGTTTTTGGTTTTTTGTTTAAAAATAGTATCCAAATATTAAAGATTTAGGTTTATCAGAATTTTATACTACATATGAACAAGATCCATATAGAATTCGATTTCTTTCTAATCATTTGAATACTTGTATGTATTTATTATTATCTACGTTTTCATAATTATTAATTTTGACTTATTCAAGTATGGCTTCAAGAACGTGAACATGAACGTATACCTATTGTTCAAAAACCATTACCTGAAATGTATCGAGCATTAACTGCAAGAGCAAAATGGGATTCAAGATTAATTTTACCAAAACTTGTTTTTCCAAATAAATATGCTGCTTATACTGTAAGTATAGTTGTTAAAAAAAAAACGAAATCTTTTCTTCATATTTCTAATATTAAAAATATTTTTACACATAGCGTTATCGAAATCCAACACGTACTATACAAAGTGCCTATTGGGAACGAGTAGAAGATCATTTCGGACAACATCAAAAGAAACGTTTAGATATTAGTTGAAAATACCAAAATGTATCATTAACTTTTATTTTATTTTTCTATATATACATAAATATTTATTTGACAATAACAACAAAAAAAAAACATTATCGAAAAATCATTCGACCAGTTTTACCGTAGAGAGCTAAAAAAAAGAAAATTAAAATTTTACACTTTTTTCTGTGTTGTTTTGATATAAAAACAAGAATAACAAACCTAATGGACCGCCATCGGGTGTTTCTGGCATACCCATTGCTTTAGCATAATTACTTGAATACCATCTAAATATATATGAAATAAATTTTGTTCTTGTTTTTTTTTCTGATAAAATTCCACTCACATGCTCAATGATTCTGTTGCTAAAATGGTTCGAACTACTTTTGCATAAATTTTATATTTTCGTTGAAATAATAAACAATTTATTTCTTGTGATGTTCTTGCTGGTGGAATTAAACAACACCAATTATTTTTACGTTCATCTGATGCATCCAATACCAGATTATTACCATTTTCACGAAAAATCTACAAAAATAAAATTTTAATGTTTAATAATTTGTGTTTTTATTCTATACTTTAATAAGAAATCCATTGCGTGGTGCTGTTGTTAATTTATCTTCTGGTATAAAACGACCTTCAAATGGACCTATAATAGTCGTTTTTAAAATACGAATTGTTGGTGAAAATGTTATTGTATCATCACAACGACGCATTTGAATGTGAGTTGGTAATGAGAGTAAAACTCTATTGAAAAACAGAAAAAAAAATAATTAAGATTAATTGTTTTAGGTCAATTTAGAAATTATAATATCAGCTTTACAAATAATGATTCATCAAACACATGATTTTTTTTATTTGATTTGGAATAGAATGAGTCATAGTTAGTACCCTATAAAATCGAACTTTTTGACGTCGATGCCTAACTTTGACCTTTTTAGAAAATTCAAAAATGTTTTTGTTTTGACATCGAAAAATATCATTACTAAGGAAAAAAAATCAAGCAATTACTGTTACCATAGAAAAATTTCAATATTTCGAAATAACCTATCAATAATAAGAAAAACAAACAAACTATATCAATGTTATTTACAACCACAAAATCTCCTGAAAATTCTTAAATAAAAATCAATTGATGTAAATGATAGTTTCGGGTAACTGTAATACTGTAGAAAGTTTTGTTTTTGAACTATGCAGGTATTTCTGTGATATTATTGTTATATTCGTTGAAACTTATGAACCTTTAAAGTAGTATATTTTTGACTAACACGGTCCACATAAAGTGTTGCAGTACATAGGATAGAAACTTGTTCTCCCAACAGACCGTGACAGACGCTAATCAAAGATCATCACAGGCCATGACAAATGCTCTTCAGAAAACATCATAGACTGCGACAAACGTTATTGATATACGATGAAAGACAGTATATGAATAATGTCTCATTATAATATATTGACGACTTTCTTATTGCATTTCTGGAAGATTAACTACTAACAGGATGTTGAAGAAACATGTCCAAAATTTAGATAGAATACAACAACTTTTCAGTGATTAACACGAGCAGCTACATTATGTTTTAATCCTGTAGGATTTGTGCTAATACATTTTATTTACTAATTAACATATGAAAATTAAAGTTATTACTATGCACAAAAAAAGAATTTGACTGATTTAACATCGAAGAATATTCGTCTCAATCATTTTTACACTTTGTCAACGTCGAAATCAGATAGAAGATTTCAAACTTTGTAGAAAATTTGAGACAATAATTTCTTTCAGGTTTCAACCTAGAGATATTTTCTTTTATTTGAATCATTTCATACTTTGAAAGATTTCGAGTCAATGATGATGATGGTTTCTTTTCTGTTCCATTCATTTTTGATGATGATACAAAATCTGAACAATCATCTTCAGCATGATTATTAAAACAAATAATACATATCATTGTCATTATAAATTCTAAAAATAAAATAAAATCTATTCTCTTTTTTTTTTTTTCAAAACATCTTAACCATACGGGTGCATTTTATTTCATCTAATAATTATACAAAAATAATATATCTATATAGACAAAAATGTGAATGAAACAGAAACAAAAAAGAAAAATCTATGAATTGATAGATTTTTTAGGAATCATAAATATCTTTCATAGAATAAAAGATAACAATTTTCAGTTACATATGATGTTTGAAAAAGATTATTTATATCATTTATTTCTATTATACGTTCATCATCACTTAAAAACCATTGATTATGATCTGTACGATATAAACAAACATAATGGTCATTGATTCTTTTTGTTAAATGTATAGATGATAATGATGAAGAAGAATTTTCTGATAAATGTAAACAAATAGCTATTAAACGATAATGATAAGAAATCGATGAATTTCTTAATCCAAGCCATGTTGTATAATGAAGATATGACAAATCAAGGATTTTTTCTGGTTCAATTATAATTGATGTATTTAATTTTATTGTTCGATTTGATAGACGATCATGTGAAAAACGTTTTAATTGAATACAAAGAATATCAGGAAAATTTGAAATCATTTTTTGACTTTTTATTCTATGATGAATGTGATTTTTTGTTGATGGAAGAATATTCGTTGTAGAAGCTAGAATATAATTAAATTGAAATTCTTTTTTTTTTAAAGTAAAATATAATAATCTACATGATATTGGTGTTGATGAAAATATATGATCGGAAAGTTGACGACGTGATGTAACAATAGGTGATACAGTCGTTCTAAAAGAAAATCCTATTTAATTAATATAGGGAATTTTTTTTTTGTGTATTGAAACATCCTAAAATGGTATATAGATTATCTCTTCTGCTGGGACGATTAAAAACTCCGGAAGAGTCAACTCGATCTTTGGAAAAGTACCGCCTGATACTGGGTAAAATCGCTAACGATTCCTCTTGTTGATGATAAGTATTGACGTCTTCGGTACTTTTTCATTCCATTCTCTCTATCAGATAATACGAAACTCTGCTAATTACTCCTGTGTTTTTAAGAATAAACGGATGAATCACACCAAAGCAAAGAATTAACTCAAAAGGAAATGACAGATTTCAACACCTATCTAAGCCTATAAATTCTCATATATGAGTCTTTTTTCGATGGATCTATCTTTTAGAGTTGATGCTAGAAATTTACTCAAAATCTTCATTGTGCCTTCGCTTTATAAACTCTCAAAACTACATCAATTGAATCTTCGAATAATATTAGATTCTGATATAATATAAATAGAGAACAAATTAAATGCTCAGTATTTTGTTGCCTATAGATACTACATAATGTTCAAATAAAAACCCTGAAACGATTTGAGTTCATATGGATATTTGACTAAGCTGTCGAGGTTTTTTTCTAGAGGTTCCAGATTTTTGGAAAAATAGTATTTTCGAGGGGTACACATCAACAGGAAAATAATTTTTTGTTTCGCAGAAAAGTTTTTTATTCATGCTCCCCTCTAGGTGTAATTTTTTTGGCCAAGGAAAAGTGCACAGGCACCTCTTGGTATTACTGCCAGGAAGACCGACATTGACACTCACACTCTTATATACTAAGTCTTTTTAAATTAATTACTAAGCTTGTAATAAAACATAGTGAGTAATTAAATATGTCATTTATGATTTGATTAGTTTAAAAATGAATTGCATATATTTATAAAAATCATAGATTAGAATAAATTTAATTCCAATGAACTCTCTTAATACTTTTTCTCTTTTAATGAAATAATAAAACATACGTTATTGTAGTGAGAAGTGCATCATGTTTAATCATTCTTTCTTGTTCATTTTTTATTTGATTAGAACAATATGAACATGATATTGAATCAATCTAGATAAATAAAAAGAACGAATACTAAGTTTCATTATATATATATATATATATCAAAATCTAATTGATTATATACAAGTTCAATTTTTGTTAATTGAGAAATAATTTGTTCTAATGTTTGATTTGTTTTATTAATTGATAATGTTAACATTGGAAATGGTTCAGTACGAAAGTGAACATGAAAACAACTAGAATAATAAATAATTTAAAAGAAGATGAAGAGAGAAAAAAAAATAAAACAACATCAATTTTATTTACTTATTACAACAATGTGCATGAAGTATTTGTCCTGAAAAAGTATGTTTTATCGTTGAACCAGATTGTATATGATGTAATAACCAAGTAATATCAACATATTGAATTATATTTGATGCTTGTGTATCGAGACTATCTAAGGTGATTTTATCATGAAGCTAAAAGAAAAAAAAAGTTTTTTTAAAAATGTTTATAATAATAGTTGTTTTTTTTTCACTTGTTCTTCTGTTTCAACAAATAATTTATTTAAATATTCAAGTGACAATGTTGTTAATTTGAAATTTTGTACTTGTTCAATAACACTAAATCGGAAATATATAAATATGATGTTGTCAGATAAATATTGAAATACTTTACTTTGTTGAATAAACAGATGATTGTTGTGATAAAGAATTATTAAGTAGATCAATAATACATTGAAATAATTCACATATATCTGTTGTTGTATTTTGTGTTAATAAATTTGAATAAGTTAAATTTAATTTTGAAATAAATACTGACGTATCAAGAAGTTTATTCCAATGTTTATATTCTGATGTACGATGATCATTTCGTAATTGAGAAATAAGATCAAGAAATGCAGGTACGATTGGATCATAATCAAAACGTGATAACTAAATTAATAGAAAAAAAACACGATTATTTCAAATTCATCTAATTAATAACGACGAAACAGTTATTTGAATTTAAATTTTTTAAATTTCGGATTTTTAGTACTTAATCTAAGTTATTCGAATGCGTATGAATTCATATCTATTCTAAAACAAAGTTTGATTGTCAAGATGATACAAGAGAAGATAGTTTATTTCATGAATTTCGTTTTCAATAAAATTTAATATCACGGACAAATTCATATAGCAATTTCAAGTTAGAGATGTACAAGATAGGGTTAGGGAAAGGTAAGAATAATTGAAATAACGAAGTTATGATATAGATATGTTAGGATTCGATTCCTCGATCATCCTCACATGATTATACTACGATGATCGTTTTTCAGTGATATCGTTCACATTCTATTACTTGAACAGATCGAACCAAAATATTTATTATACTGAATAACTCAATAGAAAATATAGTTAGATCATT